CAAAAGACTTCTTTAAAGTGTTAAAGAGCAAAGACGTCACTTTGAAGACTAAGGTGCATCTGAACCAAGTCACGGTCTTTTCAATAGCCTCATATGTATGTGAACGCTGAACAATGAATAAGGAAGAATGAAGAGGAATTGGTGCATTTGAATTATGGTCTTGGAGAAGAATATCGAGTATACTATACACTGCCAGAAGAAGGAACTTACTGGACTGTCTTGTAAGGAACTGTCTTGTAAGAAGTACAGTCAGAATTCTCCTTAGAAGAGAGAATGGCCAGACTTTGTCTGTGGTACTTTGGTCACGTTACCAGGAGAGACCCGTCCCTGGAGAAGGACATCATGTTTGGCAAAACAGAGGTCAGCAAAAAAAAGGAGGACCCTCAACAAGATGGATTGACACAGTGGCTACAACAATGGGCTCAAGCATAGCAACGATTGTGAGGATGGTGCAGGACTGGGTAGTGTTTAGTTCTGTTATACACGTGGTTGCTATGAGTTGGATCCAACTTGATGGCCCCTGACAACAACAGTGGGAGTGGAGCATTATTGTCATAGACCACACTGAGAATGAGATGAAAGTTATAGAGCCATTTTCCAGGAAAAAATACTTCCACACAATTTTACTATTTGATTTCAAAGGATCCATGGACCCCTTAGGCCCAACCATGGACTCTAGTTGAAGATACATAGTAAGAAATAAGTTGACTTTTTTTCACAGTAGATTCTGTACCTCAGCTTTACCACTTCTGTGCAAGGATAAAATGGACTTGCCTTAACTTGGGAGTCTGGTTTTCCAGAAGAGCAGCCTTGATCATCCTATGGACCCCACCCCCCCACCTTAGGTACTAAACTGTGACCTTGAGCAAATCCCTTAGTCTTGTAATCTTACTGCCATCATTTGTTAAATGAGGGATTTACTGTGTAACACACAACCTTGGGTTGCATGTAGCTAGTTGAAATTGGGATAAAGTGCCCTAATTTCTAGATGTAAGATTAAAAAAGTTTGTATATGCCAAAATAGAAACATTTTTGAGAGTAAACAGCAGTGTCTATCTCTTTCTGAACATTATTCTATTTCATAAAGTAGAAAAGGCTATATATATTTCCCCCACGTAATCACTTAAAGTGATTTTTCTTTTTAAATGGGAATTATAACTGAGGTTTGTAAACATTTTCTGCTTTTGCTGAAATAATACATACCTCCAGGTTAAGTAATCTTTTTTAAGGGCCCCTCCAATACTGGGTTTCATACCATGATTCTGATTCTAAGGCTGTTGGTTTTCCCAAGCCATGCTGAAGAGCCTTGTCACAATATTTTCTCTTTAACATAATTGAGTTGGAGACATCTAAGGGACCAGCTTGTCAGAAGTGAGGCCTTTTCTGACTTTAGAATCCCAAGTGTCTGAGAGCAGTCAGAATGAAGCCAGATATCATTGTCTGTTTGTATGTATTTCCTCTGAGGGGCCACCAGCATAGTGGCTCTGACTTTGAGCAGAACTTCAAAGGGAAGTCACAGGTAAATGGAACCTCCTTAACTCTTCTTACTTTGGGGAACTTTCCTCACTTTGGAAATACTGAGGATACTCAGTAAAACTGATCAAGGATGACTTGAAACTTCTTAAACTCAAAAGAAGAATAGATGAAATTCCAATATTTTTATATAGTTTTCACTTTGTGAGTATTGGATATTAAGCCCATATGAATAATTTAGTTACCAATACCTTCCTCCACCTGGATTCCAGCTCCTTCAGCCTGTTTTAGACTAGATAGTGACCAGGTGATACAGTATCCTCCAATTTTATGATCACTTCCTGAATTTCATCATCAGGGTGAAGTCTCCTCTAAAGGCAGCTGTTGAAACATTTGTTAACCATACTTTTCCATCTTAAATATTTATTTTTTCATTAAAATTTGTGAAGCACCAATAGAGAAGAAATTGTGTATTAAATAGTTTCTCACTTGGTCTAGTATGTTTTCATCTCATTTCCAAGGTCAGATGGTCTTAACAGAAAGACAACATCCACACAATCTGTTCCGTGACAAGGCAAAATGTGCAGCACATGAAGTCAAGCAGAATGATTTTCACGTAGTAATTGTGAATTTACAGCAACTTAGCTCATCTGAAGCAAAGTGATCTCCCCCAACTTTCTGTTCCTCTAAAGATTAGCAGATCCTTTGCTGCGACTGTGATCTAGGGCCCCAGGATATAATCTGGGAATATAGTTGAAGTCATTCCAAGAAGGCCAGCAGAGAGGACCAGAAAATGTGGAAAGGGGAAGGGCTCCACTTTGCACCCTAATCAGAATACAGATGGAATGGGATAGTCAATTGAACTGCAAGAGATTTTGTGACAAAATAATCCAATGGGACAGGGGTGGTAATTTAAAGATGTTTCATTGGTATTTATCCCCCTTCATGGAGCTTCCCATCTGCACAGAACAAGAAGTCTCCCAAGAAAGAGCAAAGAGTGAAGGCACAATACTCACTATTGCTCCAAAAGAGCAATATAGTTAAATAAGTATAATGTATCAGGAGAATCTGGCAGAAGAGATCTATAGATACGGCAGTTACTTCAACAGGAATGAAGGCTGCTTTTCTATTAGCCCCTTTACTACATAATAAGCAGAGTAGACATTACCCTACCCTTCCATCTTTCCTAAAGTAGGTTTTATTTTATGTTAGGTATATACTAAAGTATATAGATTTTTAAATGAGTTTAGAGAAATCTATACATACATGTAACCACCACTCTCATCAATTAATAATAGTTGTTGTTGTTGTTGTTGTTGTTGTTGTTGTTGTTACGTGCCATCCAGTCACCTCTGACTCAGAGTGACCCCTCCTTGGGTTTCCGAGGTGGTATCACTAGTACTGCCTTATAGTAGTACTTCCAGTTTTCTAAAATGAGTTTGCATGCATTGTTTTATCATTTGGTTAAGGGAATATAATTTCTGTATTCACAAGAAATAATTCTAACACCATTGCAAAGATGAGGAAACAGGCCAACAGAGATTGACTTGCTCGAGGTTCCTCTGGAAGGAAGAAGCAGAATAATCATATCAAAACAATTTGTTTCTATAAGCAGGAAAAAAAAAGAAAGAAAGAAAGAAATGTTGATTTTAACAGGACTGGGGGGTCATAGTACGTGCACAAAGTAAGAAAGAGAAAATGGAACTACCTGGAGAGAAGTTAGGGCCACCTTCGTTTGGAAAAAGTTGAAGATATGAAGTCATTTCCACAAACCACAGCATCTCCATATACTTTAATTTGTATTCCACCCAAAAAACGAAAAGATTTCAGGTTTGAGGTTTGTTAACTACTCAGACTAAGACCCATAAGGTTTTTTTTTTTTTTTCTTGGTGTGTGGAGAACAGTTACTCTTGGCTGTGTTTACTATTTCAGCCAAGTTTTCCAAGAGAATGTTTCTATTTTCAATTAATGTTCTTCTTTGCTCTGCTACCATTACTGATCATTTTGTTCCAAGATTCTATAGAAGAATGCAGAATAGAATATCAAATTCTCAATGGAATCCAGAATTTCTGGATCCATTGAAGCTGGATGAACCCCTGAAACTATTGCCCTGAGATGATCTTTAAACTTTAAACCAAAACTATCCCTTGAAGTCTTCTTTGAACCACAAAATAGTTTATCTTAATAAGTAAAGTATGTCTGCCTTGGGCATTGTGATCTGTTAAAGAATTATCTATGTGAGATCAAATTGACAATAATAACTTGAAAGGTTAGATGAGAAGCTTAGAGGACAGTGAGTTTAAGTCAGTGTGGTGGAAAAATCTGGAGGACAGCAAGAATATTTATTCAACTTGAAGAATGTAATCCATGTCATTGAGTTGTACATGTAGATACTGTTGAAGTGGTGTATGACTGTGTATATTTTCAGCAAAACCATCCTGCATTTAACATTTCATGTTGTATTATTTTGCACAATGCTTCACTTTTCTGGTTTAGTTGAATCCCATAACTAATAAATGTAAATTGTTTACAGCAGCTCTATGAAAACCTAACAGAGGAAGACAGTTACATAAGGAAGGAAATTACCCATATGATTCTAGATCTTGTCTCAGGACATAAAAGTAAATTTGAAATGCATTGACCCATGTCACTTTAGTTTTCTGTATTTCACTGTACATATATTATATTTCAATAAAATGTATTTTAAAAAAAAAAAGTAAACTTGGACCCCCATCAATATTCCTGAAATCTTTGCTCCTACATATTTCCTTGTATTTCTAGAAAAGAATTCTGCAGGCTGTTTCTGCATTTAGCTCCAGTTTTATGTTATGTACTAATAAATTCTGTCCTGAAGGATGCATGGTATATCCAACATGAGTTCTGATTCATCAGAGCTCGATGGCACATAACAAAAACAACAACAACATACAACATAGAAGGAGCCCTGGTGGCCCAGTGGTTAAAGCATTCAATTGCTAACCAAAAGTTTTGTGGTTCTAATCTACCATCCACTCCTTGGGAGAAAGATGTGGCAGTCTGCATCTGTAAAGATTTACAGTTTTGGAAACCCTAGGAAGCAGTTCTACTCTGTCCTATAGGGTTACTATGAGTTGGAATTGACTGGATGGCAGTGGGTACCTTCCTCTTACCAGTCCTGGATGGTAGTATTATTATCTGGTTTTTTTACAGGTTAGGAAACTGAGTTAAATTTTCTTAGACAATGTGACTTCATACCTTTGCACTGGATCTCTATCTAAATCTTCCCATTACAAACCATACTCCCCTGAGACTTTAAGTGAATTAACCTAATGTGTATCCCTTGGCTCACTCTAAATAATTTTAATTCCCAATTATCAGAATATCAAATCACCTTTACTGTTACTTATTGTTTATGACTCTTTTTTTTTTTTTTTTTTAGCATTTTGGATGGTTTGTTTAATTTTTATTTTCTCATGTGTCCATTTGTCCTAATTTTTATTTGCACTCTTCCTTTTTTTTCTGTTCCTAATTAATCATCCTTCTGAAAGTTTGCTAAAGCGTGGGTAAGTGCATCTTCATTTCCAGATAACAATGTTTTGCATTGTTATTTTTTCTTAGTTGATGAAATATAGAATAATTCAAATGAATACTAAAATGATCTAATAAATGTCAAGGAGCTGGCATATTACATTTTCTGTTGAAATTGCTTTTCCTTTTTCCCTGGCATTTACAGCAGATTTTTGTTTGTGTAGGGGTTTGTTTTCACATTACTATTGAAATTAAATCGACAACAGCAGTTAGAGAAATTGAAAAACTTTGCAGCAGTCTTGGTAGAGGCGCTAAGCTGAGCCTGCTTATCCATGAATGGAGAAAATGAGACACTTTGACATGACACTGAGTCAACACCTGGAGCCAGAATTGGGGAGCTCTGGGGCATTAATCCAAAGTACCTGAAGGTTCTAGAACTGTTTTATCAAAATCTTTCATAGTGTCTTAGTTAAACTCCCTTTGGAAGAATTCAACTACCACAAACCCACCCCACCCCCACCAGCAGTTTTGCAAATGTAATGTTTCATTTCCTGTATTAAATTATTTTGGTGTCTCACTTTGTGAGAAGACCCAGGCCAACACAGTGCTAGGCCATTAAGCCATCCATGCATGCTATTTGTAAATATGTGTATGTGTCTACACATATGAAAGCCATCAAAAGCCTTGAGTGAGGAACAATGAGACTGGTAATTTTTGCGGGGGAGGCGGGTAAAGCCGCTGATGTCTCTCCATCAAAGACAAGGAGTCAGAATCTTACAGCTACTTCTGGGACTAAGGAAATAAAGTGGGTCTGCAGGCCAGGCTTTATTTATAAATTATGTTGTCTAAAACTTACTGACGAATGTGGTGCTGTCACCTTGCAAACATGCTAATATTTGTCTTTCTGTGTTCTTTAGCATCAATACCATTCAAAAATAGACGAACTAATTGAAGAAACTGTTAAAGAAATGATAACACTCTTGGTTGCAAAGGTAATCTTCAGCTTCAGGTGAAATGTTTCATTGCGAACATTGCTTTGTTATGTCTGCATTTCCATTAAAATGTAACACGTTAAAAAGTTGAGCTGGATACTTGTGTTTCTCAGGAAACAAGATTGTACATCACCCAGCCTCAGCTCTGAATGATTTTTCTGATGATCGTGAGCTGTGTGAAGATAAATTGATGAAGTGGCATATGTTAACTTAATAAGAATTTGTCCCCAAACGTTGCTCTGGGTTATGCAGAGAATGTTTGTTTTGTTTCTCAGGACTGACAAAGTTAGATTCTTGAATACAGAAAGTTAGCTGGTAATACGGAATGCTGCCATCATGAAAACCCCCTCTCCGCTAGTTTCAAATGCAGCGAGAGTCATAATAAAACATAAAAGTCAGATAAAGCTATTTCAGTCACCCTCATGAATTATAGAATTTTAACTAAGTAATGCTAAATGGGAAGACATTTATATTTGCCAGTGCTAAACTTCTGTTTCCCCCAAATTACTGATAAAATACAAATAAAAATAGATTGGAGTAAATGTAGTGCTAATATGTAACGTAAAAACTGCTTTGCGCAGTTTTGGATTTTGAAAAGTGCACTTAATATTATTGCACGCTATATGCAATTCAATAATATTTTGTCACTTTGCACTTCTGTAACACTCTATATTTGCAATCACATAATAATGAAGAGAAAGCCGGATAAGTCAAATATTTCTATATAAAGGCAATCTATTCCTTTCCCTGAAGGCTGGAATCAAGTCATAGAGTGCAAACAGGAGCAGAGGTCTCAGTCCCTGTCTCTGTGTGGATGGGAAATGTTGCTCTTTATTGTGAACAATGATCTTTTGAAATAATAATTCTTTTTTTCTTTTTTCTGGTTTTCTAGTTTGTTACTATCTTGGAAGGAGTGCTGGCAAAATTATCCAGATATGACGAAGGGACTTTGTTTTCTTCTTTTCTGTCATTTACCGTAAGTAAAGAGTTTTCTTTTCTGGTTGTTATTTAAGTAGGGTTTGTGTTTGGGTTTTTATTTGGATGAGGGGTGCTAGTGCCATTTTGGTTTTGATTTGTGTGTGTGTATTTTCATTGCAGTCAACTACCACTGTATAATCTTAACACTAGGAGAATTAGCAGGACATTTTATAACACCAGATAATGCAAAATCATGTCTAATTTATGAATGTACTATGCATATGTATATATATGTATGTACACACACACACACATATCTCTATATGTGTGTATCAAAAAAGTTTCCTGCCTGAGTGTACCTTAGCTATCTTGAGCAAATCACTTAATGATTCTGGGCCACCATTTGGCCATCTATAAATGCAGAAATTTAATTTTAGAGGTTGTGAATGGAAACCTGTAAGTCACATAGTGCTTGCAAGTGTGTTTTATTATTTGGTCCTCCCTGTGTTGCGTATGTTTGTCTTAACTGAATTCATTGCCAATATTTAATAATCAGGAGATTTCATAGAGAAGTCCAGATTTCAGGACTTGCTTTTAAAAGTGCATGATTGGCAGCACTGGGCCTGCATATCTGCATAGTTGCAATCAGTTGAAGCTGGGTTGTGATGGTCCCACAGGCCCAACTGTTTGCTGGTTAGCTATGGCCCACTCCTGGGTGTTTCCCTCACTCATGTACTTGCCTGGCCTTAGGGATATTTCCATTTACAACCTCTGGAGTAGACGTTCTTGGAGTCCTTTACAAATTCTGAGATGTTCTGGTTCTGTGTCAGTATCAAACAAGGGGGTAGAAGTGATAACAAGAAGGCAGCCTTATTTTCAGTAGCTTCAATGATCAGTGGAGCTATTCACTAATTACATGGGCTACTACAGGGGCCCAGCTCACTCACCTTTCCTGGTGCTAGGTGGGCACTGCAGATGGCCTGCTTTCTTGTCATTTCTGACAAAGAGTTTATATGCTGGCTCTGAGACCCTAAGAGGAACAATCAATTTAGGCTTCACTATCTATGGTTCTTTAAAACAGCCTACTTTATGAGAATTCTCCCCAAAAAGTAGTGAATGCCAAGACAAAATGTAGCACAGTGAAGTGGGTAGCACATCATCACCTTTGGAATCCAGCAGAACTGGGTTCAAATCTTATTATGGATATTAACCAGCCGTGTGATCTTCAACAAGTGTCTCATCTTCTCCATGCCTCAGCTTTCTCATCCGTAAAGATGGGATTGGGGGCAGGGAGAATAATGTCTTCCATGCAGAGCTGTTGTAAGGATAATAATATAAACGAAAGAGCTCAGCGTAGTCCTTGCACATAATAGGCCTCAAGAAATGGCAGCTATTATTAGTAAAAGGTAAATAGAGTCTCCATTAGTTGGAAGTGACTTGATGGCAACATGTTTTTTGTTTGTTTGTTTTTAATAATATTATAAGATGCAAAATACACATACACGTTGTTGTTGTTGTTGTTGTGTGCCTTGGAGTTGGACCTGACTCAGTGACCCCTCCTTGGGTTTCCGAGGCAGTATCACTACGGAAGTAGATTGCCCAACCTTCCTTCTGAGTGTCCTCCAAATATACCTACTTTGGTCTTTCCCCAACCCATGCATTACTTTACCTGGGAATTAAGGGAAAGATAGGCAGAAATATTTAAATCTTTTCTAGATAGCATCCACATAGCTACATGCCCAGCCTGTTTTGATGATGTAGCTCTGACCTTCCCAGGTATAAGGAATGAACTCAATCTTAGAAGTATGATGGCCTCAGTCCCTAGAATTTGTTGGTGAAAGTCATGTGGGAAGAGGATGGTGACAATAGGAAGTCAATTCAATTTCATTCTGCATAGCCACATAACATAATATGTCACAGCTGAAAGGAAATCTTTCCAAACCCCTCCTTTGATAAAGAAACCAAGGTTCAGAGAGGGGGAGTAATTTGTCTAAGGTCACACAGCAATGGGCAGAACAAAGACAGAAACATAGATCTCCTGGCAGCTTCCCACCACCATTGAACTGCATTCTGGAGAGAGTGGGATTCAGCTGGCAGTTGCTTGGCATCAGAAGGCAGATGGGCAAATGAGTGGGGAAGATTCATAAAGAAGGATCAGGGCATATGAGTGGAAAACATTAGACAGTCTTGCATTCCTCAGTGAAGTCGTGGACATGATGAAAAGAGGCAGAATTAAATGCAATATTTCTGGAAAATGTTCCCTTGTTACCCAAAGTATACATCAATTTTTTTTGCATCTTCATTTTGAGCAACTGTTTTTACTGCACTGAACTTGTGAAAACCAGAAAAGCCCCCTCTGCTCTCTTGAGCAGAATTCCAGTCCACCAAGATTTCCCACCCTAATTACTGAATTACCAAGAGGACTATGTGAGAGGTGGTCCTGTGACAGCAAGAGCAAGAACATGGTACCAGGGAGATTCCCATGGGAGGGTTACAAACCCAGAAGACCCAGAGTATGGTATGCAGCAGTCTTGAAGCTGAAATTCCCATCCTCTCATCTCCCTTTCCCCGAGACAGTTTGCAGCCTCACAACCTGCCTAGTAAAGGCATCGTAATTGCAGAACACTTGGGTGCCCATTACCGGGCATGTAACTTCCCTTCCTTAATGGCACTTCTCCCACACACTTGGCCACCCAGAGGCCAAAAGCACCCACTTATCATTTGCAGCCTGTGTTCTCATCTCCTGTCGGTACTCCAGTATTGGAGAACATGAGCTGTGCTTAGAGGCGGCAAGAATATCTCCACACATTGATTCTGAGCTCCTGCCCAAATTTCAACGGGCCTTTGAAGGCTTCCTACAGCCTAGTCGTGTTAATTACCCAAGAGTGGAGTGGAGGTAAAAGGGCTGAGCAGAGGCAGTAGGTACTGGGGAAGGAGCCTTGGAACCAAGGATGAAAAAACCAGCTGTAAGTCCCGAGAAGTTGGACAAAAGCATAGAGGTAGTGCTGAAACCCTGGCATGATTTCCTTCACTCTGCTCCCTTTTCTGATTCCATTCTTCAAGTATTACTGCGCACTTACCACATCCCCACCTCAGCCAGGCTGCCAAGTATGAGCCATGTGCTCTGCCCCCCAGAAAGCTGACAAGTATCGACAAATATGCCACCCTTTCCCCCTCTTTCTCCCGCTGAGCGCTTCCTTTCCTGGGTGGGCTTGATTTCATGGTCCAAGCCAGACATTTTGGAAAACGTCTGCAGTAGCACGGAGCAGGCAGGAATATTTATTTCTTGTCTCCATCTGCATTGCTTCCTCTCTTGGAGAGGAGTTGAGGGGAGGAGGGAGGAGGAGATGTGGCTTCTCCGTGCCAGCCCAGGAGGCGCCCAAGTGTGCCCCTCCTCTTCTCCCTCCCCAGCCTCGGCAGCAGTAGCAGCCGGGGATTTATGGAGGCAGGCGCCTTTCGAACTTTTGGAAGATCAGCCCAGTTGGAAGACACAATTAGCAACCATCCGCCCATTTCCCTTGACTGCAAGATGTGCTTTTGTGTGGGTTGCTGGCTTGGAAGTATCCCTATCTTGTGGGTAGCCTTGTGCTGTTCTTTTAGGAGGCCAATAAGAGGGGTGAGCAGGTACCCAGGTTCCTCTACCAGCAAGTTAAATCTTTTCCTTGGTCATATCCAGATGTCAACAAATATGCTAGTTCTAGAATCCTTGCATTCATTTATTCTTCACTCATTCACTTATTTATTCACACAACATATGTTTATTGTACACCTGTGTACCATACAGGAGCCCGTAGGTGGCACAAATGGTTAAACACTGGGCTACTAACCAAATGGTTCAAAACTACCCAGGGGAGCCTTGGAAGAAAGGCCTGCCAATCTTCTTCTGTAAAGATCTACCCAGATGTGCCTTGGAAGAAAGGACTGGCAGTCTGCTTCTATAAAGATTACAACTGGAAAAAACCCTATGGAGCAGTTCTACTCTTTAATGCATGGAGGTCACTATGAGTTGTTAATTGGCTCGGTAGCAGTGGGTTTGGTTTTTTGGTATGTGTCCTATGTTGTGCTAGGTACTGAGGACACAGCAGTGAGCAGGAAAAACATGCTCTCTGCCTCTATGAAAGATTATATTTAGCAAGGGAGACATCAAGAAAATTAGAGGTTGGGATAGTGTTGCACAGGACGTAGACTGGAGAGGAAGAAGGTGGGTGGTGGCATTAGTCCAGCTAGGGTGGTCTTGGAAGGTATCTCTGAGGAAGTGACACATGAGCTGAAAGTTGACAGAGCCAGCCATAGGTAAACAGGAGGGAAGAATCTTCTGGACAAAACATGAACTGCAGTGGTCCTGAAACAGGAAAGCCAGAACTATTTTTGAGGGATATTTTGGGAGTAACGTAAGCAGGGCTTAGGAATTGAGTGGATTTAAGAGTGGAGAATCAACTGGATAGGGCAAAGGTGGAAAGCCCAAGAACTGTGATGTTTTGGAGAGCTCAGCTGAGTCGAATGAGTCCTGAGAGTCAGTGAGGTACAGCCCAGAGTGGAGAGACCTAGGATGGGATCTCGGCACTGCCACTTAATCTCCTTCACTGTAACATGATGATAGTTACATGAGATGAGTTTGGATGCCTAAAATGGCAACAAGAGGCACAGCTTCTTTTCCTTTAAGCACTTGCTAAGTGCCAGGTACAGGGCTAAGTACTTTAAATACAGTTTTCTTGTTGAGTTGTCTGAATAATTCCATTACAGCAACACTATACTGCAGGTGATGAAAGGGGCTTAGGGAAGTCAAGTCCCCAGCTCAACCTGCATACCGCCTCCAAGTAAAGTTGGTGCCCCCCCAGGAGGAATGAAGAGGTAGGAGGAACCCAGCCTACCCCCCTCACACACACACACACACACACACACACACACACACACCTCAAGCAGCTGGAACGATTGTATGAAATCCTTTGAAGTCACCTAAAATTCATCCAAGATAACCTATCAACCAAATCCATTTGAGACAGTTACAGTTACAACATAACATGGAAGCCACACAGGGTGATAAAGTCCATTATAGGG